CCAGAGAAAAGACGTGTGCCTGGACTGTAGAATAAGAAACACCTGGATTCCAATGTATTCACTAACTATGGGTGAGCCTCAGTTCACTCATATGTTTCTGGACCTAAAAATGGTACCTAGCTTATTAGGTTATTGAGGGAATTCAGAGGTAAACCTTGTAAAATACTTACACAGTGTCAAAGTATCCAATGAATGTAGCTGCCATAAATATAATACAGAGTAAATGGCTATTAGGAAGGCTAGACAGGTATAGATGATCAAGGACCACAGGTGTTTAGAGGCAAGCCGCTTGAATCAGTTTTCAAAGAGGGCCATACACTGTCAGTTACGGTACCAGGCAAGCATACTGTCTGATGATGTCAACTGAATTTACTGCCCAAATATAATCATTGTTTGACACCCATCTGAAGGCTTGACTCCCCTGCCTCTTCGCAGAAGACTCAAGTCCTGAATCTGTTTGGCCTCCTGTGTTTTTGTCCTGCTACTCATGGGGAAGGTGCTTCAGGTCTCCTTAAGAAGCAGGCAGGGTATGAAGCTCCAATCTTGTCACTGTAATGAACTGCTTGGCTCTGTGCTCCCCTCTGACCCTGGAGGGATTGCCTCCATTATAAAGTAAGACAGCCCCCAGGGTAGCTCGGCTTAGCCTTATCCACCAGGGTCTCCTCCATGTCTACCTTTCACTGGCATTTCTATACCCAAGGGTTTCCTCTGCTTTCTGAGCTAACACAGCCACAAGAGAACAAAGCCACTCCCATGGCCCTCAGAGCAGCTGGTGGGGGGATTACTGTCATAGCACAGAAATAAAGGGGCTTTCAAGAGAAGAAGCACCTTCAGACCAATCCTGTGCCCTGGGGCCTCTGGTTTCCTGGGAAGGGGCTCTTGGGCTATCAACACCCCCTCCAGATATAGATGTCTCTGAGCTGTCCCCATATCCCACAGGGAGATCTCAAAAATAGCCCAGGGAAGGGCTAGGGTTGTGGCTCAGTGGCAGAGCGCTTGCTTCACACATGTGAGGCACTGATTCAATCCTCAGCACCACATAAAAATAAGTAAACAAAATAAAGATATTGTTTTAAAAAGAATAGCCCAGGGACAGACCCTATTGACCAGAAACTGGCCCTTTAAATCAGAACCTTTTGGCAAAGGGAATTGTGGGTGTTTGTGCTTCTCCCTCCCCACCCACTTTCTTTAGTGTGGCATCTAGATAAATTAAATACAAAATCATCTTGTCATTTAGGCAAATCATATTCCCATGACACCAAAATGCACACATTATAAATATAAATTCATCCCGATCTTATTGAATCCTCTGTTTTCAGAGAACAGTGTCAGTAAAGCCATCATTGGTGTCCCCTCCTACTAGGTAGGTAGAGATCCCTGAAAAGCCTGAGGGTGACTGGAACCTTCTCCTGACAGGGGCCTAGACCTCATAGCACCCTGCAGGAGAACTTCCTTAAAGCCCTTTCTTTACTTCAAGAATGAAACTATCATTGGTTTATCAAAGCATCAACAAAGGCTGCCAATCATTCAACCCAAACTTAACACTCGGATTAATCAAGATCCAGTGATGGTCAATATTTTGTCCATGGTCACTGAGCAGTATCTCAATTTCAGGATAAGAAACTCCAGTTTAGGAAAACTCTTGCCCAAATCTCTCATGGTTTGACATTTGAAGATGGTTGTTGCAAATGAGTATACCTCTGCTGAAGACACCCATAATGGGTAGTCTTTTCCAATAAAGTACAAGTCCATATAACACCTTGGCCTCCCATGCCTTCCTGTTAGAGAACTGGCATATGGGAAACCTGCATCCAAAACCAAAACAATCATACTGTTCTCCCCCACGGGGCAGCTCAAGATCCCAGCATGTCTGTTCTGCCTCCTGCATTAGGTGGTGTTCTTGACAGTGTACATCAGTGTAGTTTCAAGGGACGTGTCCCCAGTATACTGCCTTGTCCATGAAACACAACACAGAAAAGTTGCAAACCTTGCCCCATCCTTAGCAGCTAAAGAAATGATGGAATCGGGATCTCCCTTTAGTTTTGCAAATCCTATAACCAATTTTTCACATCAGAATTTGTAATACATGGGCTGACAGCAGAACCCGAATATTAAAACTCAGGACCTCCCAGAGAAATCGGGCCATACAGTTGCCATGCCAACACCCCATAATGCCAAACAAGTGTCTCCGAAGTCCAGAAGGAACTTGGCTGGCTTCAAACAATCCAGACAGCAAGAAGGCAGAGCTGCCGCCTGGGCAGCCTGTTATACAGCCCTTCCCTTACCCGGCTCAGCTCTTTGATTCCCCAGGGGAGTGATGATGACGCTTGTCTGAATTTGCTCAGCTTCTGAAATCAGGACTGGCCACCTCATTCTCTAAGAATCTGAAAATCCACATGCAACATTCTGACCTGCCTGAAATGGCAAGGACAGTCAGTGGCTACAATTCCAGGGAGAACAATTCCCCAGCTGCACCTGCCCCTTTCAAGTTGAACAAAGGATTCCACTCCTGAAGATGCATGATCTTGCATTTCCTTACCTCCTTACTTACAGTCAGAGTGGACTTGCAAAGAAATATCAAGGGTATCTGAAGCTTCGACCATTGACTGCTCTCAGAAAAGGGCCAGAACGCTATTGCACTTCTTTGCAAAAGAAGTTCTTATTAGGACTTGTTGTGTTCACCAATGTGGAGACGCCAGGAGCTTCCAACACAGTCCCTGCATGCAGAATTTATGCTTGCTTTAGAACTACTCAGAAGTGAATTAACTCAAAGATAGGAATATAAGACCAGGCAGTGTTAAGGGCAGTGTGTGATTGGCACTGATGCTGACGGAAAAGACTTCCAGAGATAAAGCTTAAGAACGGAGAGGGAGCTGGCTGTGTGCTTAAGTGGCCAGAGAAGGCTCAGTCACTTCGACCCCTGATATTATTACTCTCCCTTTCTTCCTACACCTTCTCTTCCAGGCTCCCAGGTGTCTTCCTGATCCTCTTTTACTCTTTTAAACTTAGCTTCCAGATCTCAGCCCTTTTCTTACCTGCAGCAAGTTAACACCTGTGGTGATAAGGAGGGGCAAGAAGATGCTAGCCAGCACATTCCCCCCCACCTCTAATTCCTACCCCTCAAAACAAGGGTTGTACTCCTCCAGCAGTGTCCCCACTCCAGGGCTCACACGTGGGAGGAAGCAGGAGAGAGATGCCCCAGCAAGGTTAGGGTCATGGTTCTGCAGAAGAGGGTCTGGGTGACTTAACCATGCCCTCTCTCTTCCTCGATACCCTCCCTTGGCCTTTTTCCCCTTCCAACTCAGAGCCTCCTCCCATCAGTCACCAGCATCTGGCCAGCTTGCATCTCCCCTCCTGGCCCCAGGCTGGCCTTCCCTGAGACCAGGCTAGTTCTCCCAGATGAAGGCAGCTAGGATGAGGGCAGTGTGGGAGCTCCCTGGGGTCTGGGGCCACTACTGGTCTGGCTGGCTCCAGTTGTAACCTAGACTTCAGCCCTCTGGGGTCTTGACACAGGAGTCTTTTCCTCCAGGCTTTTAGTCCAAACACTGTCAAGTGCTTTGGAAACAGTGTCCTAGGGAAAGGATCCAGAGCTCAAAAGGAAACCCTCCATTTAAATAGGCTTGCCCCCACAGATGCATCCAGACTGGGATCTAGGATAAAGTTCATAACCCATTATTTCTGCAAAGGTCAGGTTCCTTTGCAGAAATAATGGTTCCTTTGCTGAGGATTTTCACTTCTTCCCAGGTGGGTAACAAGAGTGGAATCTGGGGCAGGATGGGAATATGAGAGTGGTCCACCGATTGCTTCATGTTCCTGGAGTTCTGAGGCACCTTTGGGTAAGTATCGAGTACGCTAGTCGATAACAAACCTCAGCTCTCCTGACCTTGTACCTCCCCGAGGAGCTCCTCACCCCGCCTCTCCCAGGCCCAGATCTTTCCACGTCAGGATTGCACCCTCCCCCAATCCCCTACTCCGGCTCCACTCTGCTTCCTGGTCCTCGCTCCCCCAGGCTGCCGCGGACAGCAGTCTGTCGGGAGGGTAGTCAGAGACTCTCCGTTCACCACTGGCCCCTGTTGGAAGAACGCACCAGAACGCACCCGTTCGAGTGCGCTCTCTGCGGGTCCCAGAGTCTCCTGCTTCAACAGGTGCCCCTGCCTGGCCACAAGAAGCTGTCACCCCGTGCCCGGGCGAAGGCGGCGACAGGAACGCCCCCTGCAGGACGGCTGAGGCTCCGCATGTCACCGCCGGGGTCCCCAGAGCGCCTAGGGCCCCGCAGCTCCACCAAAGCCCCAACCATTCCACACAGCCTTTGTTTCCCTGCTTGCTAAGCCGTCCCGGAGCTGACCCCATGCGAAGGAATCGCCAAGTCCAGGCGCGGACACAGCCGGCTCAACTGTAGTGTGAACCCTAAGGTTGGGGGTGCAGGGCGCATACAGTACAAGACCCTTCCCTGACCCACAGAACCCCCTTGGAAGGGTGTCAATGCCAAAGAAAAAGGTCCACGTTGATCCGGATGAGAAGCAGCGCTTAGCGACCCTTCCCTACCCACGCCCCCACCCGATGTCCTTTATCCCCAGGAGGCTGGAGAACCAGTGCGCACCGCCACCTACGCGCTCAGCTGCGCGGTTTCCACCGACTGATCGCTGCGCTCAAGGACCAGCTGCTTTCTCCCCCCGGCAAGGCACCCGCAGCCCCTCAGCCCCCAGCCCCGGCTGCGCAGAGCCGGGAGATCCGCCACGTTCCCAGTCGCGCGTGCACGCAGGGCCCACCAAACTTGCAGCACTTTCTCCCAACCCCCACCCACTGTCACCCTCCCTCCATCCGTGCACCCTGGCCCCGCCGGACCGGCAGAGGTTGCCATAACAACAAATAGGAATGCTCCAACGTATACAAAGCCGGCCTGGCGCGGCGGGCCCCGAGCCCTGGGCTGCCGCGCGGGGGCAGGACGCGCGCCGCGGCTCCCCCGCCGGCCGGCCGCCCGGCGCGCCGGGCGTACTCACAATGAGCGGGATGGTGCGGTCCTCGCGCAGCTGCTCTGGCCTCCCGCCGGTCTTCTGCGCGCCCCGGCCGCCGGAGGCTGCGTGGGCTCGGTTGTCCTGCCATAAGTAGTAGAAAGTGCCCAGGATCCAGGCTACGGTCAGGATGGCGATGGCATTGGCGCGGATCTTCCTCATGGTGGGCGGCCGGGCGCCCAGGGTGGGAGCCGGGTCCGGCGTGCTCTCGAGGCCGGGGCGGGGGCGCTACCAGCCCCAGCTGTTTGTTTTCGCTTGCGCCTGGCTGCTCAGTCCTGCAGAGCAGAAAAAGGAGAGAGGTGGGGGGGGGGGGGGTTGTGATAGGGAGAGACAGGAGCGCGGAGCGATCCTCACGGTCCTAATGCCCTTCAGCCCGCGCTTCCCCCGGGCGCCCATTCATTCGCGCGCAGAGCCCTATCCGCGCTCCAGCTGCTGCTGGCGGCCCGGGCCGCTGCGCACCCGGAATGGAAAGTAGCACGGGCCTTCCTCCTGCGCTCGGGGACCTGGCGAGACAGACGCCCGCGGCGGAATGGCGACGGGTCGGAGCCAGCTTCGTCTCCCACCGCTCGCCGACCGATCGCCCGGCGCTGCCCCCGCGCGGCCCTAGTGGGTCCCGCCTACCCACCCCACCCCCGGACCAAGAGGCCCTGAGTCACCGACCAGAAATGCGCGACCCCCGGCCTTGGCCCACGCAGTGGAGCTGCAGTTCCGGGCGGCGCTCTGAATTGCGCTCCGGCAAGGGGTTCAAGGTGTGTTTCGCGAGTCCTTGGGAAGAGGTGGCAGGGAGGAGAGGTGTCCTGAGTTTACACTGGAACCCTCCACAGCCTAGATTCCGATCCGTGGGGGAGCCGCCCAGAGGAAGGTTTGGAAGCTGGTGCACTTGACATTCGGGGAGAGCGAAGGGGGAGCGACATTGTCTCGCAGCTAGGGCGAGGAGAATGGAGATACAATCACTGTGCATCTTTCATTGGCCCGGGGTTCCGGGCTTTTATGACACTTTCCTACATCCTGCTTCGCTGTCCCCTGGATAACTCTGAGGTATCTTCATCACTATTTCATCAGAAAACAGAAGCCAGAGTGGCCCGGCGATTCCCCAGAGGTCACATGACTAATTAGTGGGAAGAGCCCAGTCTACAAATCATCTGACACTCTTCTACAAGCCATCTGACACTTTTCGACAAAGTGCAAAACACGGTGGTGAGAGACACATCACTGAGATTCTGCGCCGGTGCTGGAGGCGGTGACAATCATGTGTGAACTACTCTCTCCTGACAAAAGGCCAGGTGGGCTAGATTAGCCCTAGGAGACCAGCCCAGGGTGGGGTACAGGCCGACACTCAATGAATAAATGGGAAACGATGAAGTAAGGATCACAGAAAGAGAAATAATTTATTGTAAGGCGGTCTTCTTTTATTTGCCAGGGAAAGCTGCTTAGAGAAGTCCGAATAAATCCTTAAGAGGCACAAGGGGGAGGGGAGGACAGGATCATGAATAGCTGCCCCAGCAAAGGTCCAGAGGATGGAAGCATTTGTGTTAAGGAGATAGCGCCGGACCTGGTAAGGGTTTGGTGGGAGTTGAGGCTGGAAGACTGGGCAAGTCTGGACTCAGGAGATCCTTAAATGCCAGGAGGAGTGGGCAGGGAGTTTGTTTCCTGTTGATGCTGCTGGGTATTATGGCTCTTCTGAAGACTCAGGTAGGGTCAGGGCTCCAAATGAAGCCACCTGGGGAATCAGGCAGTGAGGTCACAGCATCAAGTCTTCCCTCACTCACACTGTCAGCACCACCCTGAGGCATGGAAGTGAATAAGGAGGTGTTTGTCTGTTTCTCCATCATTCTGGAAGTGAACCATGTACATAATAGATGCTTGATACATTTCTATTTAGGCAAAGGGAAGAAACTCCACTTGATTTTCCCAGAAGACTTATCATCACAATTATGATACCTTGACTCAAAAGACTAATCATGAGGATACCTAGACAATTCCCCAAATGGCCCAACCAGGGAGGGGACCCTACAAAATAGAGAATACACCAAAGAGGGTCTATGAAAATAGCAGGGAGTCTTAGGAATAGTCTGTGTGGCCATCATAAACAACAGGCAAGAGGACAGAGATGCCCCGGGTCCTGGGGTGTTAGAGTCTGTAAACAAGTCAAAATAACACCTGGCATTTTGCCAGGGGAATGTTAGAGGTCGTAAACAAGTCTGGATGGTGCCTGGCAAAATGCCAGAGGGAGTGGTTTGAGAAGTAACAAAAGCGAGCCATTAAGTGTGGAGATTCCTTATTGGTTGACTGATGTATCTAGTTTATGCTTATTAGATAAGCTGTGTGGAATGTATAAATACTGCTCCTGTCCTGCAATAAACGGCTCCCACTCCTGCTGTATCAACGTACACAAGTTGTTCGTCACCCCCCGGTTATTTTGCCAGCCGTACTCCGGCACTGGGGCACTAGTACAACTTGCTGTCCCAGGTCTCTCTCACCTGGGGAGTTCAATCAAACTGCCTAGGGCACAGGATTCATTTGCACGGATGGAGAAAATCACTGTGAAGCCACTGCCTGATTTCACAGCAATCATGGGATAGATCCAGTGTCACAGCATCTGTGTGAGGCCAGGGAAGAAGACTTTGCTCCTTAGGCACCAGGCTCCACAGACATCTCTAGTCAACCATGAAAATGAAAGGGAGCTGCTCTCTTGGTGCCGCCTTTTAACACAGGTGATCTATCAGGAGGTCAGCCAGGTGGGAGGACTAGGGACCAGCCCTCTAGTTGCCATAGGTTGCTCCCTGCATCCCAGCCTGCCAATGCACGTCTGGTTGCCTTTGATCTTGAGAGAACCAGGTGAAAGGATGTGGGGTCCAAAGGCATCCCCTCAACTTGAAAAACTCACCCCTGGGTATGGGAGGTGAAGCTGGGCCTTGCCAGGCTGATATCAGGCTGAGGGCTTTCTGGTGGCTCCATGAGGTGAGGGAGGGAGAAGATGGAATTTGGCAGGGTTTCTACAAGTCTCACCACTTATTCCCCAGGAATAAGTGGGGGCCAATTGTCATTATCTGGCAGCTCTGTCCCTAAGATAAAACTTCCCTCACCCTCCACCAGAGGGGCATAGCCCTTCATGAAGGTGTTAGACTGCACAATAGCCCTCAGATGGGCACTTCCTTGGGGATGGAAATAAAAGAGGGCTGGAAGTCACTATGCTCATTTAACTGACTGAAATTTGACACAGAGGTTGACTGATGTGCCTTAAGCCACAGGCACTCTGGCAGAACTGGGAACTAGAAACTGCCACCTTGGCTACAAACTATGGTCTTCCTTCCAGATTTGAATCACAAATGGGCCCAAAACTGAGTCTGAGGTAGATTTCAGTGATCAGGGATAACAATGAATTTTGTTTCCTCTCTGGTCCTAGAGTGGATCCCAGCAGAATGACAGATCAAAGCCATCCCTAAGAGATTTGCTGATTCCTAATGTTCATTGAACTTTAAAAACAAGAGTAATTGTATTAGCTACAGTTTACTCAGGACCTCCCAGGTGCCAGCCAGCCCCCATGCCTACATTCCACATTCCTATCTCTAAAGTTCTCATGCTCTTGAGGTGAGTTCAAGATTATCATCCCCATCTGCAGCTAAGGACCCTGACACTTCACAGGGCTCATTTAATTATTTGCCTGGAGTCAGACAGCAGGTCAGTGGTGGAGCTGAGTTTAAATCCTGAGCCATTTTCAATGTCAGTGTGTGGGCACGGTGCAGGGCAGTCTGCAGGGTGCTTAAGAGTTAGCTCTATGTGCAGAGGTCTCCCGTCACTTTGGGCCTGTCTTCTCCTCTGTAAAAGGAGGGATACAGAGACATGCTCTCAGATTCCCTCTAGTTGAGCCATTTTAGACTTCTAGTTCTTAGGCACGTTCCCCTGTTTGCTATTTCTCTCAGACTCAGTTCACCTTCTCTTTTAAGGCCACCAAAGCTGGCCTGGGGTAAGCTGGGACCCCAGTTGATGTGCAGCTGGACAACTCAATTCAAATGCTAGTTATGTCACAGAAGAGGAAAGTGAGCAAATTCCTAACCTGAGTTTCCTCAACTGTGATATGAGGGTGTTAGCCCTTACTTGAAGCCCTGTTGAGAAAGACTGGTTGAAATAAAGCCTATAAAATTCAGTGCCTAGTAACCACCCCAATCTATTGGAGACCTGCTCCCACAGACATGCTCTGGGGGTGAGAAGGGACTCCTGAAGGGCCTGCCCAGAGAACACGAAGGGGACTGCTGCCATGGCTGCCAAGAACAGAGGACAGGCCACACCTAAGGCCACACCTAAGGTGAACTGTCCTGCCCAACAGGTGGGTGGATGCCTTTTCCAGAGCCTCTGCTGGGCACGCTGGAGGCAGGGTGGAGGAGAGAGGCACAGAGCAGGGCCCCCGCCTCTTTGTGTCCAATACTCTTAGACCTGTGCCAGCTCAGAAGTGTCTTGTCCTGTCTGCTGCTGCAGCAGGCCCCCAGAACATAGGGGAGACACCTGTTGGATTCCCAGCCTGCCCATGTCCTAAGCAGAAGAGAGGCTGGTAGGGGTACAGAATGTTCATAACCAGGCCACACATGCTGTGCCGATATGGGATCACAGAATACAGGCACCTGTGAAGAAGGCCCTGAAGCCCCCATTTTACAGATGAGACTGATGCCTACAAAGTCACAGCCATCCAGTGGATGTATGCTGTCCACTGCCAGCTGATCACGCTTAATGCGCCAATTGTCTTCCCAGGAAAAGGTATCTGTAAGTTTCTATAAACCATTATAGATGGAGGGTAGGACCTGGCTTTTTTTTTTTTTTTTGTACCAGGAATTTAACCCAGGGGCACTTAACAACTGAGCCACATCCCCAATCTTTTTTTGGATTTTATTAGAGACAGGGTCTCGTGGAGTTGCTTAAGACCTCACTAAATTGCTGAGGCTGGCTTTGAACTGGTGATCCTCCTGCTTTAGCCTCGTGAGCCACTAGATTACAGGCATGAGCCACCGCGCTCAGCTAGGACCTGGCTCTTTGAAAGGAACTTCCAGTCTTATTCTCAATCCAATTTGTCTGATAACCTTGGCTTTTTATCACTGGTTTCTGCCACTAAACTGTAAACGCTGAGGGCAAGGCTTTTTCTGTTTTTGTGATTTTTGTTTTCTTTTGCAGTGCTCGGGATCAAACCCAGGCCAAATGCACTACCACTGAGCTACACCCCAGCCCTTGAGTGTTCTTTTTTTATCTTCATTTTTAAAAGCAAGATCTCAC